ACCAAGTCAAGTCATCATCATCTGTTTTTTTTTCTTTTTCCTTTGCAGGTTGTGGTATTAAATGTAAGGAAATCCCTATGGAGCTTGTATTTGTGATTGACAGCTCTGAGAGCGTGGGACCAGAAAATTTTGAGATTATCAAAGACTTTGTAGCTGCTTTAGTAGACAGAGTAACTGTAGGAAGAAATGCTACCAGGATTGGCCTTGTGTTATATAGTTTAGAAGTTCAGCTAGAATTTGGACTCAGCAAGTACACAACTCAGCAGGATGTTAAGCAAGCAGTTAGAAAAATGCAATACATGGGAGAAGGCACTTACACAGGAACTGCTATCCGTAAAGCAACCCAGGAAGGATTTCTTGGTGCTCGAACAGGAGTGCGAAAAGTAGCTGTTGTGCTAACAGATGGCCAAGCAGACAAGAGAGAAGCTGTAAAACTAGATATTGTCGTTCGAGAGGCTCATGCAGCAAACATCGAGATGTATGCAATAGGAATTGTGAATACTTCAGATCCAACACAGTTTGAGTTTGTGCGTGAACTAAATCTGATTGCTTCAGACCCAGACAGAGAACACATGTATCTCATTGATGACTTTAATACCCTTCCAGGTGAGTTCATTGCAGTTTTATTCTGCATTGTATCAGATGCTTCTCAAAACAGGGTGGAATGGGGAGGAAGCATTATCTTTGTGGATATGTTATGTTTTGATGCAGATCAGGATTAGTTAACAGGTGAAAAGTAATAGGAAATTAGAGATATAGAATCTCTTATTTTAAAGAGTCAAGTTGTAAGGCAATGGCTTCATCATGCCAATGGGGGATGTCACCTACAGTGTAGGAAAACAGCAGCTTAAGATAGCTGAGTAAGTGCTCATGCACTGTAAATCTGCTGGACTGGAAACCAGAATCAAACCTCACTGAATTGGGTTATTCACATGAGCAAGGTAAGCAGTTATTTTACTACTACCAAGTAGTAGTTGTTACTAAGCTCAGATGAACATCTTTAAGTGAGTTCATTGTATTTTGTACCATGTAGAGGACTCACAGGCTGTTAATTTTTGACAAATAAAAGCCATAGTGCAGAAAGCCTGGATTAATCTTAGATGCAAAGGAGTACAGGATTACATATGTGTTATTTACATATATAAATAATTCAAATTTTAAAAATAAATTTAATTTCTTGGTATGATGAGTTTTTAACTTTTTTTTTAACAGCTCTGGAGTCCAAACTGGTCAACCAGTTTTGTGAAGATGAACATGGTACCTTAATATATAACCGTAACGGAAATGGTGCAAGCATAAGTGGCTCGTCTTTCCATTCAGTATCTTCAAGTTCTTTACATTACACACTCCAGAACAACAATGTTAACAGACAATCACTTTTGGCACAGATACCTGGAGTATCTACAATAGAAAGTCCTCTGAGTCTTGGTGATCTTCCTCAACTATTAGCTCCGGTATGAAAATTCAGCAGGCTTTAATAAGCACGAGCTTTTTATATATATCCTACTCTATTACCTGGTGTAGAATGCAACTTGCCCCCTACTCTTCTACAGGACAGGCACTGTAATAGCTCCTTTAATTCAGTATGCTTGGAGCTGGTTGTTCCAAGTAAGAGTTTTGATGTTGCATGCAGGCAATTATCTAATGGCTATAATTTATTCTGGAAACAGTTACAAGGATTCTTATTCCTGTGTTTAATAGCCATATTTGTGCCACAGTGTGAAACATAATGTTATTAAAATGCACTTATGCTGTAATATTGTCTAAGGTTAGCAATTCAATTCAACTGTAGTCTGTAAAGTTTCTTTTTAAAAATTTCTGTACAGGTCAACTAAAAAAACCTGTATATATCCCAGGTTTAGGATTGACAGCTCTCCTGGTAAACCAACCAGGGGAGGTTAAAATCCTGATTCTTGACACTGAAGTCATGTTAAATGGGAATTAAAATTATTAGAAAACCTCTAAGTGATGAAGGGCTTGTTCATTTTGAGACACTTCACAATATCTGAAAAGCAAAGAAAATCAAATGCTTATTTCAGACCAAAGCACCTCCTGTGACTGTAAATGAAGCCTATGAAGAGGAACAGGAGGAGGAGGAACAGTCATCGTTGCTAAAAGTGGAGACTAGAGGTATTTTTATCATAATTCACTTCTTCATCTTCATTTTTGGCTAATCAAAAGATCAGCATCTCATTCTGTTTCTTTTCACCTGCAGCTGTGGTACCATTCATGCCATCTAAACCATCATAATCAGATAAAGTGATGACATCATCTCTTTCAACTGCAGGGCTTACACCAAGATCAGTTTATAGATCATAATTAGCTTTTCATCCTGTTCCTTCTTATCCTGATACTAAATTACCACAAGTCTTTAAATTAGAGTAATTTTTGTTCCACTATCTGAAAATTTCATGAGCCCATGCTGTGGAAAATAATCCATTTCAAGATTTTGTAACAGATCTAGCTGCAGTTCTTGTCCAGCCTGTTCACCAGTTTTTGTCTTCCCAAATTCCAAATCCTACTGCTACTCTTAAAGCAGAAGCAAGGTCACCTATAACCTGAGACTGAGCTCGTAACTGGCGTAAAAAAAGAGAACACAGTGCTAGCTGAAGAGCAGGTAATTCATCAGCCAAGATGGGACGTTCTATGAAGATGGGACGCTTCATTAAAGACAGAAGATAATTATTTCAGATTTCACCAGAAATAATAGATTTCTCCTTCAGGGGAGAAATAGGGGAAAAAAGGTGTTTTGTAATTTTAAGGAAAATACAGTAATTAGCTGACTGCTCAAAGGATTGATTATTTGAATATGAAATGTCCAAATGTATTCTGTTCATAATTTGGGGGATTCACACTTTTGAGTTCCAGTAATAGTGTATTATGACAGGAGCAACAGAATAGAGTAACAGAAACGTGTTCTCATGCTTCCAGGGAACACAAGTATGGCTATTACTCTGGCAATAACTTCTTTTTTAAGCATGTCAAGATACCAGTTGCAAAAGACAGAATATTGATGTCACAACATTAAAACTTGAAAGAAAAGTATTTTCTATCTCACGGCATTATTAAAATGACCAAGGCTAGATTAGTATTTCACAGTCCTCCACCACATTATCTATAGGAATCATTAGGCCAACAAGCTTTACATTCAGATTTAACTAGTATGTACATAATCACTACCATTACCTTAGGTAAGTAGTACAAACATCTTATAAAATAAAGACTCAAGTTTTATATTGCTCACAAGACTGGCTACTGATAATTAGATTTCGAAAGTTAGATTTCGAAAGTTAGATTTCAAAATTATCAAATTCATACTGTTGGCTCTTCTTACAGGTGGAGCCATAATGCTATTATTTCTGGAGTTAATAGAAACATGCCAGTAAAGAAACAGTTTACTTGACCTCCTAAGATGCACTTTTAACTTGCCTTCAATGCTAGTATCTTTAGAAGTAAAAGTGAACCTTAAAATGCTCTATAGCATTAGCAGAAAAAAATAAGAGTTTAAAAGCTAGAATCTTTGCAATACAATTGACTTTTACAAACTTAATTGTCTCTATTCCTTTTTTTTCTTTATTTTAGAAAGTATCCTGGATGCCCGGTGCAAGTTAAGGCTGAATCAAGGGCCATGCCGTGTTTATATCATAAAATGGTATTATGATAAACAGGCCAATGCTTGTGCTCAGTTTTGGTACGGGGGCTGCGACGGGAATGCAAACCGCTTTGAGAGTGAAGAGGAATGTAGAGAGGCTTGTGTATCTTTTTCTGGAGGTAGGAGTTTATCTTTACATTATTAACAAGCAAGTTGAAGCTACTGATTGCTTGGGTTTGTTATCAAGTATGCAGCAGGGGATGTAAAACCAAACCTACTAATTCAAAGAATGCTAACATTATGAAGTCATATGCTCATGAATTAAAAAATGTCTACCAGTGCAAGCTCACATTAGTTCTTTTTGCATGTATCATATGACATTGCCCTTATGGAACAAAATAACAATTTTTCAGCAGTATCAAGAGTACAAAGTTTCACTTTTTACTGAGGTATATTAAGACCAGTATAGCATTTGCCATAGTAGTTGCCTCTCCTTCACCTAGATCTTTAAATACTACCACTGTACAATCAATAACTACACTTCATTTAGAATTACATATATGGCTTTAGAAAGCAATCCTTGTTCATTAAAATTAAGCAAATTCTTTTCTCTGTGTTACAGAAACCTGATATCTGGCACGGATTCTGCAATGAAGACCACTTTTTTTAAGCAGAAGTGTTCCCACAAACCCCATTTTAGTATTTCAAGCATGAAATATTAATCTCCAATTTACATGTGGAATACTACTCAGTACAGATAAATACAGCAGATGCATCAACTTGTGGCCTATGTGATCTGCAGGCCACAAAACAGGGAGGTGGCTGAGCTACCCACCTTTCTGAACCACATCACAGTTACATTAATCTTTTTCTGTAAACTTGCCTCAGTTTCCATTAGCTAGCAAGATACGTGACAAAGGCAAAATACATACACAGATTTAGATGAGTGAGTATACCCACAGCTGGCATCACTCAATTAGCTAGTTCATATCTGAAGTGGTCCTTGACATGTTTCTCTTCTGAAAGTCATGTCTGATTTTTAAGTAAATTTAGTATTTTCACCTCTTTCTTAAAACATCTTAAAATTTCTGTTCAAAACATCTAACACAACATAAAGTTTATTCTTTATTGCCCATAACTGCCATAATGCTTTTTAGTTATGTCTGCCTCTATATGATGTATTTCCTGTTACTTGACTCTATACTTAAAAGCTTCAATCTAATAAAACAGTTTTGGTTTTACTGCTGGATAGTTAACAGACAATGGTACCTCTACCAAACTAAAAACTGACATCAAGGCTAAATCACACTACCTGTGTAACGGGGCTCTGATGATGTAACTGGATTTCTGCCACAGCTCTTAACAAGATGGAACATCTCAGATGAGGCACTGCTGCTCGTGAAACACGATGACCGTTTTTGGTTGGGTTTGAAGGGTTTTATTCCTGAACAGAAGTTCAGCCTATCAATGAAAAAAAAATGGAATCTGGCCTCAAACCAAACACCTGCCACACTTCCCACCTCACGAGCCCCTGGCCAGGCCAAGCCCACCTCGCCAGCACCTGCTCTGGGATGACTGCCCAAGTTTCTTCCTATGATTTGTACTTTAGAATATTTTAATTATTTGAAAGTAGCACGATACTGCCATTAAAATTCAGCTACCTACAATTTAAGTTATTCCAAATTAAAAATTACACATCCCATCCAGTTAAAAAGCGAAACACAAACAACCAAACAAAACCAACAAACCCACAACACACAAAAAAAACACCCACAACCAAAAAAAACCAACCCAAAAGACCTGCAAAGTGTAGTTTACTGAGGGAGGGCTTCAGAGGTTTTAGGTTTACCGACTGCGTAGTGTCTGCGGTTACAGAGACGTCACCCGGTACCACACAAAACCGGCAACTACTACACGTTGCAAAGACTCGGCGCGCTCGGCTCTGCCTCACACAACGTTCACCAAGGCCGCCCCGCACGAGCCCGCCCCGCCCCGCGCCTCACGGGCCGGAGCA